TCGGATAATACTTATGCGAAGTCGAAACAGGTCGCTAGTCAATGTCAATATTAAGCAGGAATGTCTTAAGCAGTAATGAAGGTGGGTAATGAAGTATCTACTTCATCTACTTACAATAATTATATTATTTGTCAACCTTACCAGTGGTTGTAAATATGGTGATTTAGTAAAACATTTCCATTAATTTTTGTCGCAGTCATGTCTAGCTACACATTATAATGTTTGACATCAAATTCTTCAATGTTTAATGATTGAAGTAGCTACCCTGTACATACATTATCTTCATTTACCTAAATCAATATTGCGCACAACTCCATTTATAGGTTGTAATAGCGTCCTTTTCACGTCGCTTATTACCCTCCGACGGCGATCATCATGATTTTCTGAAATTAAAAATTGTACCTTTATTATGCAAGTAATATGTTATTGGAGAGGCAATCGCAAAATAATTTATATTTAAAAAATTAAACGCAGCATAGCAAACTAGGATAGCACAGCAAATTATTATTTACAAAAAAGTTTTAACTATCCGGACTAATTAAACGTGCTAAACAATTATATGGACCAATTTAGATTGCGGCTATGAGGAATTCATCTCATTAAAATTTTCAGCTCACTTTAATCACTTATAATGGTCTACCATCTTCCCGGATCATCGCTTCCCTAATAAAAACCTTTCATAAGTATAAGGCCCCGATATTTAACCGCGTAATTTTGTGAAACAAGAAACCGAATACCAGCTGCGGCATTGGCGGTTATGACCCCGGCGGCAATTGTGGCAAAATTTAAACATTAAACCTCCTTTTATAATAATTACAAAATAACAGTAAAACAATTTACCTTCGCTTGTCATAGAAAAACGCAGCAAGTATTGTGCAGCTAAAAACAAAACGCGCAAAGCTTTGCAGTTTTTAATACACTAATGACCTATTTCACAATGTTCACCTAGATAGCCATTATTTACTAGTACGAAATATCACATAAGTTTATCTTGTAGGTATTCATAGAAATACGGTGAAACACGCGTAAATAAAATAAATACAGTCAAATGAACAGTACTGAAAATAATGATGACATAGGCTATTTATCAGTTTCTCCAATTCAATACTTCGAACTACCAACGATAGTTATATGTAAACTTTGTACGAGATTTTAGGTTATGGACAAATTACTTTTTGCGTCAAATGCGAATCTTTTCTATTTCTCAGAGATACACGAAAATATAAAGGCTGGCTGTTTTCAAATGTTTTACTATACGGAAAAGACGAAACAATTTTTTTACTAAAGCAAATATCATTTTTAACACAAAAATACTTAACGTATTGCAAAATTACTATAAAACAATTTACTTACACTTGTCATTGTCACGAACTACAGTCAGCGAGTTTTGTGTATAGATAGCACCTATGAACTAAACACGCAAAGCAATGCAGAGCTGATGACAGGGTAAATAAAACAAGAATTCAAATAAATTTTTACTAATTCATAATACTATTTAGTCAGTCAATTGATCTAATATTATATTATTGTACATTGTGTTACTTATACCTATTTGTAAAATAGTAGGAACCCTGCTTTATGACTTTTATTTATTTATCTTACGGTAAATGTTTCAGACTAGCCCGCGAAATTATAATTTTCGTAATTTTTTGCGACTTACTCTCGATATTGCCTACGATGATAAAATACATGTGATTTGTTATGAGAGCACAATCTCAGTTATAGAACAGAAACAGAAAGGCGGCAATGAACAGAAATAATATATTGTTATATTTTCCAGTTATTATAAAATACTAAACTTTTTGCGTTAATTTCAAAACGACACACGCGGCAACTCCAATACTGAAGAAACAAAAAGAAACGCGCCTGACGTAATTTCTTTTTTGCTTTCTTTCTTGATTAGTTTATTCACCAGTTCTAATCATCAAATAATAATATTGTCATTTTAAACATAGTTCTCCCAAATTCAAGTAACATGAGAATATTTTTCAAGTTTGACTCTTAACTCGTCGAGTACCGGTTTTATAGACACAATTAAAGAACAATAGGTCGCGGTCACCGGTGACCGCTTGGTGTTTGACAGTTTAAATATGCTTTCTTTAACATACGAAGCTTCTTGTGCACGTTTTACAAATAACATCTAGTGAAAAGGTCAACCAGAACAGTAAAACTATCAGTACGTAATGAGTGATGAATTGATGATAGTTACTCTTTGCTTTTTAGTTTTTATTTCTTTTTGTTTTAGTTTAAGTTGTCGGTTTTTTATAATAATAACTGGCTTCATTGCTGTGTGTTGTTGCCGTGAAATATGGGTGCGGCAACGTAGTAATCCTTATTTTTACAACACATACTGTGAGAAAGGGTATTAAGTAAAGAACTTTTTAAACTAAAACTATGTCCAAAATGCCTGGTAATTTTATTAATTATATTTAAAATTAATTAATCATATTTAAAATTTATAGACTTTAAATAAAAAGTTAAACTTTGGAAGCTTGTATGGAATTTTGTTGATACCATTTGTATCAAAGAATTTTATTTGGAAGACTTTGAAGAATACAACAAAAATTATATGTTTAAGGCTGGATCCACAAAAATGTCATTTGGCAAATGGCAAACATTTTGCGCATATTTTACATATCAATAAAAATAAATTATATGAAGGCAACAGTGACATTTGGGACGAAGATTTTATGGTTAAAAGTAGTAGTTAATGACCTCCCAAATCCATGAAAAATTATGTGGGTTCATGCGCAAAACACCAGGTATATTTTATTATCATAGTATGCGATATCGAGCTGTAACTCGCAAAAAACTTACGAAATGTCGCGGGCGACCCTGGAACTTTCACATCACATTACAAATACAATTTGTTACGTACACTTATAAATAGGACTATACATTAAATATCAAATTCTTTATTTACTACAAATTTACGAAATCGCAAGCAATAGCTGAGCATCTTATTTCTAATACATAATAAGGGCAAACGTTCTTGTGCCTTCCAAATGACACTATAATATGTAGCATAAGGCCAGTCAGTATTAGACATCTACAGTGATTGGACCAATAGTAGGTACTCACTCTACGTTCGTTCACGCGCATCTAGTGGGCACAAAATCGTTAACCCCCGTTAAAACATAACATACACAGTAAATAGCACCTTGTAAGACCGGCAAATGAGCAAACTATGAAAGTTAGCAATCGGCATCACCGGCCTTTTGTTGAATGAGATATTGGGGATTTGGAGGAGTTGGCGATTGGGGGATTCCAGAAATTTCGAGTAAGAAAGTAATTACAAGAAATGAGTATAGGATTGGAGGATTTAAATAACAATATGGCACTGAAGATTAATTGGTAAATAGAAGACAATGAGGCATACCAACTAATGGAAAAATATTTCATTTTTATTGGCCAAAGTAGATAATCTGCAGCTTGTGGTATGCAGCACCGCCCTCGTGCCCGCAAATAATGCACTTGCAGCATGGACGCGACACAAAAAACACACACGACACGCGTGCATGATTTATTTGCAAACAGGAGAGCGGTGCTGCATGCTGCAAATTCTCTACTTCAGTAGGATATAAACTATATATTTCAGTTGTAGTGTAATCTGTGGGTAAGACAACACTACAACCTTGTAAGGTAACAGTTATCTTTGGTAAGTTTACAGTAAAACTATAATAAAGGAACCTCTTTCACTTACTCGTTAATATCGTATGTAGGTATTCGACTAAGAGCTTAAGGCGTTTTGGTATTTCTAATTTAAATATGGGACCTTAACCGCCGTCCAAAATCGTTGAATAATTTATCTGCTCTAAGAAAATATTTACAAAAAGAGGAACAAATTACGTAACAGAAATTTAATACAGGTGAATTGAGAACCTCTTCTTTTATGGAAGCCAGTTAAATATTTCAGCATTTTTTAACAAAATCTTAATATTTTAGGACCGTCACTTTAAAACGGTACAGTTACGGTAACAGGTTTGGTCCTACATATTATTCAGAAACAATTTGTACTCTACAACTCCTTCAACATTAACAGCGTCTACATTTTTATATAGTGTTTTCGATCACCATAAAGACGTACTTATCTACAAAACTTATAAAATGATTGAGATCAGAAAATCGCTAAGGTTATTGAATATGCCCTTTGTTCTTACATATAACCAAATCGGCTTTATGTTAACTTATTAATTAAATAGTTTTAACACTAATGAATAATGATATATTTACAATAAAGTATACATCTAAAAATAAGTCTTTTCGTAGATTGTATCACAGTTGATTTCTTCAGTCATGATTTATAAAATTAAGTACTTAACCAATACGAACGTTATCACACAGAAAAATTACTTTGCTAAATATTTTTGGACAAGTACGTTATGTTACAATAGCTTATAACATAAATTATTAGGCGTAGTGGTCATAATCATAGAACAGTCTGTCTAAACGCTATGTTTTCGTCAATTGCGTTATGAATTAGTCATTTTTAAATAAATATTACAATTTATCGCGATAATTTTCACAACTTAACTAAAAATCGCGGGTTACTTAACCACAGAGGCGTTCTTCCTCATAGTGGCCGGATCACTAATAAATGAAGTTCTTATACATAGTAATTACTAGCTGATGCTCGCGGCTTCTCTCACATGATTACGTACATGGATGACTAACCTTCGAAATGCCAACCCCTATTTTCAATCTTATGCAAGTCATATATATATTCCAACCTACAAAAATCGATATATAGCTTAAATCTAATAATACAGTGTATCAGTCTAGTCCATTCGCAGCTTCCAGACAAGAATAACATTTTAAGTTTACTTGGCACAAAAATAGGAATATTAATTCTGATGTATAGTCAAATAGTAACGTTGTGCAAAGTAACGTGTTGATATTTTAGTCGCTAAGCGTTCGTTATAATTTCGCTATAGAGTGCGTTCGTCACAAATTAATTATCTTTGTTCTTTAGACCGAACATTTAAAAGTACATACCGCTGTTATTGAAATGGACCATAGGGTGGCTGGGGGGGATATCTGGCCATAACATACGCATTGTAATTCTGCGTGTTTTGTACCGACGGTGTCGACGCCGTCACCGTCGCTGTCGTCGATGTAGAAGGACGAGCTGGTATTTGTGGATTTACTGCCACTCGCACAGGAAAATTTGAATGTATTTGCTGAGCATTTGGTACGTCTAAAACACATTCAAAAAATAAATACAATAACGAATGTCTGGAACCGGAAATTTGGCTTATACTTAATTTTGACCAATTGTAACTTACTACTAGGATACGCCTGCGGATAGTAACCCCTAGTCGGTGGTGGTGGAACAGCCGGCTGGTACGGCAAATACGTTGATGGCGTAGTTACGGCTCTCACGTGGGGTTGTAGCGCAGTTGGCGGATGAGAAACACTAGGAGGGTGGGATGCAGTCGAAGGATGCGATGCAGTTGTAAGATGAGGACCACTAGGAGATGAGTGATGAGGAGCAGTCGGGGGATAGGGTGCGCTTGGAGGATGAGGAGCAGTCGGGGGATGAGGAGCAATCGGGGGATGAGGAGCAATCGGGGGATGAGGAGCAATCGGGGGATGCGGGGCTGGTGGCGGATGAGGTACAGTCGGGGGACGAGGTTCAATAGAACCAAGTGGTGTATTAGGTAGGTGAGGAGCATTCGGCAGGTGAGACGTATTAGGTAAGTAAGGAGCCGTCGGAATATGTGAAGCTGAAGCCACCGAGCTAGCCATTCCACTGGAGAACGTTCGAACTCCGATATTTGTCGTGCAGGGATATCTGACGGGTCTAGGTCTGCTTCGTTCCGAATTTAGAATCTCTTTTGCGCGAGATTCATTGATTTGGTTTCTATCGTTAATGCCGCTCAATGCCGCCGCTGAAACATTAAAATTGAAAATATTAATTGGAAAATAAGAAACTTGAAAATGACTACAAAACTGTTATAAAATCAGTTCTTAATAGTAATATGCACTGTGATTTCTTTGTTAATAAATACAGAAGTGTTTTTTTAATTAAAATGGAGCCACCCACATTTGTAGTGGTACTCACTGGACATCTCAAAAGCCTCTGATAGAGTCTGGTAGGACAGTCTTAAGCTTCTAGCAATTGGACTACCGGCTGGTCTGTGTAAATGGATTACAGATTTCCTGAGGAATCGGTAAATTAATAATGACTCTTCATTGATTGCTACTTGTCTGACCAATAACCAGATAACTTTCTTGTGTAACATAATTTAGAACTTAATTTGTCTCGAAAAACATTTACAATTTAGTAGTTATATCACTTACAATTTCTTATCATATCCAACATTGTCTGTATCACGTCGGTAGACATATGATTCATCGGATTGGGTCTCCTGGTCAACCCAGCCAGTGACTGCAATAGTGGGGATTCATCTATTCCGACTGGTGCAGGCGGCTGTAACATTGAAACACAATACATTTCATAACCAGTTACCAATGTAATGTATAGATGTGAAATATATTCTAAAGTAATAAAACTTATACTAACCGTTTCTACAACAGGTCTTTGTTTGCGAAACACACATTCTATTAACTGCAGTAGAAACTGTCTTGGCACGGTGGATGTTTCCTGAAAGTGTAAAAATACCAGTTGTCAGAGGAATAGAGTACGAGTGCATTTGATGCTCTTATGTACGTTTGAATATTGTTCCCTGTCATCCTTATCCTTACTAATATTATAAATCTGAAAGTGAGTTTGTTTGTTTGTTCCACCTTCACGCCGTAACTACTCAACCGATTGCTTTGAATTTTTGCAGACGTAAAGTTAGAAGTCCGGATTAAATAATAGGCTACTTTTTAACCCGGAAAAAATTGATATTCCCGAGGAAAAACAAAAGTATTGGTATAGATGGCGCTGTGTGTATTGGTATATGTCACATCACGACATACTTTTTTTGTTTACCTATTTAGAAGTGATTGTGACTTAAGTGGCATAATTGGGACTAGTTGGCAACTACATACTTAAAGAGCTTACTCTTTAACGGCGAACAGTTTACTCGTATTTTTTTAATGATTTCATTATCTGCTTGTCCCTCAGGACAGTACAAAGTTACTTGTAACTCGACGTATTCCTCTTGGGAGGTGGGAATACCACTAATTTCCTACAAAATTAGCCATCAGGTCCCTAGTAGTACCAAAGTACCGACAATTTGTGGCTGCAATTATTGGCAAACATTGCCCAGCCATCAAAAAACATTTTAGTTCATTTTATGGCTGAAAACAATCAATTGCAGACAACATGTTGCAATATGACTGCAATAGTATGGCCTTTGATTCAGAACCCTTTAATGAGCCACACAATCTAGCAACAATGGCTGACGAAATGACGCTCATCGCAGCCGCTTACATTGTTTTGGCAAAAAAACGAAGAAAAAGGACACGAATGTGGATCCGACCTTACCTATATAGGCGTGACACTTTGGATTCCGAAGACATGGAATTAATGCTGGATAAATACTTATTTAAAAATATTACAAGAATGTCTAAGAGCTACATACTTCGAATTTCTTGTGAACAGAATTGGATCAAACATACAAAGGCAAGATACAAACATGATGAATGCAATACCTGTGACTACAAGATTAGCAATAACTCTACGGTATTTAGCGACTGGAGATTCTTTCAAGAGTTTGACGTACCTTTTCAGAGTGTCCGCTTATTCAATTTCAACTATTGTCCCAGAGGTTTGTAAAGCCTTAATAGAAAGGGACGCGCATATACAGTAAAACAGAACAACAATATGGATGGCCCAGATATATTGCAGTATTTTCGATTGCGAGGCGATCGTTCGGCCACGCGCCGGCTACACATAAAACATTTTGACATACCAAAAAATATGTGGCTATAATGCCGGGCCATCCTTAAAATAATGCATAATGTTGGCTGGTATTGCTAGCAATGTTACCGGCCACAGTATTGCAGCCACAAATTGTCGTAAAATATAGCCCGTTTAGACGCCCCTTAAAACAAAACCAAAAACATTGAATATCTCGATAACTAGGTACTTTGGTACTACTAGGGACCTGATGATATATTTTGGTGTCATTTAAACGACTTCAGGGACACCCGTATAATACAATACACAATATTATAAACTTATTAATTAAACACTTTTTAACTTATATTTAACTGCGTACAATTAAGTGTACTACAGATTATTTCAGGGACTATAAGACCTAAGGCACTGCGTACCGCCCGGAGGCCAGCACGGTAAAGCGGGTTTAATAGCGATGCCCCGCGTAGAAACTGTTAACGCGCCCATCCGCGTGGATGGGTTAAACACGTTTTTAACCAATACTGTTACATCTACTATCATTTTTAAATAACAACACGTCTTGCACCCACGATGACGGTGGGAGCACCGCTAGACCGCGCGGTCGGGCAGTGTATTTGTGTTAGGCAAGTACGGATTTATTAGAAGTCAATGCGACATGACATCCGCTTCACCCCCTATCGCGGCGGTGCGCGGTGTAGTGTGTTAATCGCTTATGTAATATTTCGAGGTTTGTGCAGACTTCTAATCTATCAGTCAGTAGGTGGGTAACTTATCAGTACGTGATACTAGTAATATTTCTTTTTTGCTTTACAGTTCTTACCTTTCGTTTGTTTTTAGTTTTGGAAGTCTGTTTTTAAACGCTATTTAATATTCTTATTATTTTTACTTTTTATTTTAGTGCAAGGCTAAGTGTACAGAGCCAGTATACTACGTATAACCCACATGGGTGCACAGTTCTCATCAATACCAATTATTCAAGCGCGAACACCTGGTAGCTCCTGTTAACCGTTGAGGCTCCATTTGCGGATCAACTCCCAATTCTATATCAAATAGTACTACTTGAAAATACTACAGATATATATAGATATAGTGACACACTAGTTGTCCCTATAATTTTCAATAGTTACCCTCGGTTTCCCTTGGATCCTGACAATGGGACCACCTAGCAAGGGTAATCTTTCAAACTAAAGAATTTTAAAAAACGGTCCATAATTGCGGTATAATTGGTGAACATATAAAGGATGTTTGGCGCATGGACCAACATAATGTCACGGTTGGTCACATACATTTGTTTTTATTGAAATGAAGAATTTTTTCCAAAATGAGTCTAATTGACTCAAAATATCGTTTTTTTGTGGGTCTAGTGGTCCAAAATAAATTTTGTTGTATACTTCAAAGTCTATAATGGCCTTGTGGCAGAGAATTCTTACCTATCAGTAGGTCGGTAATTTATCAGTGTATATGACTGATAATAATAGTAACTTTTTGCTTTTTAGTTTTTACCATTTGCCAGATTTTAGTTCTTGTTTTTAAATACGGGCACGGTAAACTAGTAACCCGTATTTTTACAACATAATGGTTAATGGACTTATAGCATACTGTTAAAAGGGGTATTAGCTCAGGGACTTTTTAATATAAAACTAAATTCAAAATGGCTTTTAGAATTTTTTATAATTAATTTAGAAGTTTAAAAATTTCAGACGTATGAGTGAAAAATTAAACTTTGGAAGCTAGTAAAAAATTTGTTTAAAGAATATGTATCAAACAAAGACGTATCTATTTGATTTAATACTTTGACTTTGGAGTGTTTGAGACTTTGGAGTATACTACAAATAATTCTATTAGTCATTCTGTTTATCAGTCTGTTGTATATGTTACGGGTAATGCTAGAAGGTGGAGTAAACCTAGGTTTATCCGGGTTGACTTAGTATTACCCAAGCTTCTTGGGTAAAGTCCGAATAATAAGTAAAATAAATTTTAATTCGGGGTTTACCCATACTCACCTAGGTCTACCCAGCTCTGGCTGGGTAATGTTAGGCGTTGCGTAATTTTCGAACCCGTGCCGTGGCGTAAATCTCGGGGGCCCGCATTCTCCCGCGCCGCTTGCGCCTCCCCGCGATTCCCCGCCCACGCGGCCACGCCGCTTGCTTAGTGACAAAATGGCGACCGAACAGAGTGCACGTACTTTTCGAGAGCGTTTTGATACAAAATTTCAAGAGTTATTCTCAGCGAAAGGGTTAAATTATTTTTACTTCAGTAACGAACAGTATTTGGAAATAATTAATTCGGTGAAAAGTGCAAAAGAAGCTAAATCGAAAACTACTTTACAATACCGGCGATTGAAGCGTTTCGATTTGTGCTCGGTAAGTGGCATCGAGAAACTGATTGCTCCTCTATCTTCAAGTGAAACAACAATTAAATATTACGTGACCAACGATGAAATGTTCGATATTTTGCATGAAACTCATTTGGCTGTTGGACATGGAGGAAAACATCGAATGGAAAAAGAATGTAAAAAAAAATATAAAAATGTTACTCAAGAAGTAATAAAATTATATTTACGACTATGCGAACCATGCCAAAAAAAGTTAAAGTCTGCCAAAAAAGGAATTGTTGTCAAACCATTGCTGTCAACAGAAATGAATAGTCGCTGTCAAGTAGATTTAATTGACATGCAGTCTAACCCTGACGGCGATTTCAAATTCATAATGGTCTATCAAGATCATTTGACAAAGTTTGTACAGCTGCGCGCGTTAACATCTAAACGAGCCGTAGAAGTCGCTTATAAGCTTTTGGACATATTTTGTATTTTTGGCGCACCTTCAATTCTTCAATCAGATAATGGCCGCGAGTTTGCAAATCATGTAATAGAAGAGTTGTGCTCGATGTGGAGTGGTCTGAAAATAGTACATGGCAAACCTCGCCATAGTCAGTCTCAAGGTAGTGTGGAAAGAGCAAATCAAGACGTACAAAATATGCTTATGACGTGGATGAACGACGAAAATTGTAAGCGTTGGTCAGAAGGTTTGAAGTTCGTACAATTAATGAAAAATAGGGCATTCCACGATGGAATAAAACGAGCTCCTTATACCGCCATGTTCGGTAGTGATGTCAAGGTGGGTTTAGCGTCGTCTTCTCTTCCAAAAGAAGTTATTGCCAGTATTCACACTGAGGAAGAGCTCGAGAAAATGTTGACGGAATTTACTACCGGAGCAGAATCTAGTCCAGAATCCCAAGAAGAGGGACCGGAATCTAGTCAAGAATCTCAAGAAGATTTACTTAATGTAGAGCTGGACTCACAGAATTATCACTTACAGAACAAGGAGATGAGAAACGAAATCGAAACAGAAGTATTAAACACAAAAGAAGGTGAAAGGGAAGTTTTACGAGAAATAAATTCAGAAGAAACGGCCAAAAAGAAAGACGAAATGGAGTGTTGTAGATGTATGAACCCAGGCACAAGTACACAAGAAATAAACATGTGTGAAATTTGTACTACTCAACAAAATATAAACGAACATAGATTATCTGCCCGATTGAACTTAGAAAATCAAGCTAAAAAAATGAAAGCCTTATCTAATTTAAAATTTCCTCCATGTTCTGTTGGAGATACGGTAAGAGTCCAGATACCAGATGTCGATAGAGGAAGAGGCGAATTTCGGAACGTGCTTATGGCAGTTATAGAAAAAGCTGATGATCTGTATAGGCTAGGAAACGAACGTGGTACTATTGAGGAAATGTTCTCAAGAAATCAGTTTTCTGTGTGTCATGATAAACTGATTGATATTGAAAAT